CCCGCACCCCCTTTCAGGCAGTTGTAGGGAGCGATAAGGTCTCCCTGAGCCTCCTCTTCTCCAGGCTGAACCCCCCCAGCTCCCTCCTCACAGGAATTGCGCTCCAGCCCCTTCCCCAGCTCCGTTCCCTTCTCCAGACACGCTCCAGCCCCTCAGGGTCTTTCTTGGAGCGAGGGCTCAAAACCAAACAGCGTTCGAGGCGCAGCCTCGCCAGCGCCCAGCACAGGGTGGCAATGGGGCAGAGGAGGGGTAGGCAGGGAGCAGAAGGTGACGTTCCACTTTGGACACAGCCTGGGAGTCCCTGCGGCATGCGTTACCGCAGCTCAGGCCCCATCATACCTTTCCAGGCGCTCGGACACCAGGTACGTCTGGTTGGCATCCATGATGAACATCAGTTGATTAATGAGGTCATCGGGCTGGATGAGGCCTTCTAACCGCCCGACTACCGTCATCCTGCGATCCTTCAGCATAATCACCGCCAGGAACGGGTACGTGTTCTCCCGCAGAGCCTGGGAGACTGGGAAACAGGCACAGACGTCACCCCCCCAACCCGAGGGGTGAGCAAGGGGGTACAGCACAGATGCTTTCCGTCACCAAGGGCCTAGGGAAGCAGCTCCCACAGCCACCATCTCTTCCAAGGCAGAAGAGGCCTCAGGGCCCACTCCATCAAACTCAGCCACGGGAGGACGTGTCGGAGCACAGAGACCGAGGGGAAAACCCCAACCTTTCAAACAACCGAAGAGCTCCCGAATTCAAGCGGGAAGGAAACTGCTCTGAAGGGCCATTCTGAATGGGCCAAAAAGCCCCGGGTTTGAACCACAGGAAGAGAAACTCCGCTCACGCAGAGGGAAACACCTGCTGACGTTAGGGACGGCCAGAGCGGAGGGTGTGACAGAGGGAAGATGGCAGTGTCCGCCCTGGAGACGTCAGGACAGAATTAAACCGCTTCTGCCACGGGGGGGGATGATGCAGATCAGGGGCTTTGATGTTGCTGTTCACCTAGGACTGACGAGCGCTTCCTCCGTGACAGCTGCACGGCACCTCACACAACCTGGAGCGGTCATTACCGACCGAGCCCTCCAAACTAAAGTCAAGGCAAACCGTGGATGTGATCAAAGCCCACAGTTCCCTTCCAGCTCGGCTTTCCCAGCTGCGACTCCCAAGCACGGCAGCAGCAAAAGAGCAGCGAGTAAAAACGTCTCCTTGGCAATCCCAAGGTGTTGATAGCTGGTCACTGAACTACGAAGCCAGGAATGACCCCGATTTCGAACCAGAACTCTGGCCTCTCCTGCCATGGAACAGAAAGGCTCAGAAGAGCCACAGGAGGCACAAACAGAACTCTGGGAAAAGACTCCGTTGGCAGCAAACCCCTAGAAAAATGCTAGTAGTGAAGTATCAAGAGCTCTAGAAAGACAGCACTTAAAAAGGACCTCACCGTGGACTTTTGAGGAGAAAGAGACTGGGTGTGGAGTGACAGGGCTCCTTTGGAAAGGGGAAGAATGCACCTAACAAGTCACTCCTGGCCTCAGGTGCAATGCAAACCAGCCATAAGGGCACAGCTAATGAGACACTTGTTTCTGCACGCCATTGAACCCTCAGCACACACCCACCAACGCGGCACGAGAAGCAGCCCGAACGCCCGCGCAGAGCGCTCAGCTAGGCCTGCCCAGCAACACACGGAGCAGCGGAGGTTAAGAACAGAAGGTATTTCGTTCCCTGGCATCCAAACAGGCCCCCTGAGATATCACACGAAAAGCAACACCCCCTCCACCACACAATCCTGAAAGCTTGTCTGCTTGCACAAAACCCAAGCGTTTCAAACGCTTGAATTTCCAAAAGAGCTTGTTCCAGAGACAGGGAAGGGTAGGTAAAGCCCAGGAGGGACACACTCACCTCTGTATCCCTCCGGTTTATTGGTCGAGCACGCCCAGAAGAGCATCCTAGTGTTTATGAGGGTGATCACCTCAGGTACACACAGTGTATTGCTAGGGGATGAGAAGAGATTGTGTGAACGAAGCTGCATTTATAGTGCAAAAGTAACTACTTTGGAAAACTCTCCTACCTACCGGCAGAATTCATCTGTGTCCTGGTGGTCATCTCCATGAAGATAAACCAACAGGAAGCGCAGCTCCCGCTTGGCATCATTCAGTGCCTTGGCATAAGAGCAGAGGAGGTAAAGTTACAGGGTCTTGTGGCAAGGGGAAAGCAGCACCCGCGGACACGTGTGACACAGCTGAGCAATGCTGACCGGGGCCATCACCGCCACTAGCGTGGTTTTGGTGATGCCGGAGCGGAGGGTGAACCGGTCAGACCTTCTGCCTAAACCCTCATTTCGGGGGCTACAGTGGTGTGTTTCACACTGCTTTTGGGATGTGGCTTTGAGGAACACCGAACTCTGAGGGAAGCCAGGTTGGCCGGGTGCGGGCTGACACCCCTCACCACCCCACCAGGCTTGGCTGGCGGTGAAGAACCCTCCTTTGTCCCTCAGACTCACAGCAGCCAAGGCCAAGCTTTCCGCTCTAGCCTGTACAGGACCCAACCTTCAGACCACATCAGATGAAAGCACTACTGAAAAAAGATGAGCTCAATAATGCTGCAGGCCCCAACAGAACAAAACCAAACAAAAATCCCAACCAACACACCCCCACCTTTTTGCATGTACGGTTTCTGGATGCCACCCACCCAAGAGCATTCCTCAACGAGACCACAGGGTAAGTGCACAATAGTCTCCCTGTTTTACTGGCACTGAGTTTTGGTAGCCTAACCATTCCATGGTTATTCAAGTTTGGATTCCAGGCAAGACAGAGGGGCCTAGGAGAGCTGCGGAGGCAGCGAGCTCCATCGCTGTGCGGCACAGAGCAGATACCGTCTCCACATTCCTCCCTGGTGCTGGGGAAGCAGTGCTGATCCAACTGGGATGCGCTGGAGGAGGCTCTGCCCTTGGCTAGGCTGAGGCGCTGCAGAGGAAGCAGCGCTCACTGGGATGTCCCTCTTCCAGAGCATGCCCAGAGCTAACACACAGAACCCTCGACTCCTGTAACTTCTTAAGGGGCTCCCTCTCTCAGTTTTGGGGTCCCACACCAACTTCTGGAGTCTCATTGTAATGCAAGCACAGGCAGCCAAGCCCAGTTTGGTGAACAGAAGGACAGACTCTGGCACACGGCGTCAGTTTATGAAAACAAAGGCAAGATGACAAAGAATAGCTGTTGGCTACAGCGCCATACAGACGGCCGAGGAACAGTCAGAGCAGCTCTGCTTCCCAACTTTGCAGGCTTGGCATGTCACCAAGCCTGGCAGACACTGGTTTTCCAATAGGCTTGTTCACTACCTCTCCATTACCCTGTTACAGAGTTTGGAGACAAATGCCAGGCTTTTGGACAAAAAGTGGGTTTGCCATGTAGGCCCCGACACCATCTGGCAAAATCCCCACTCTCCGTCTCCCCAGGATCTAGGCACCAACACGTGACACTGACCTGGCTGTAAGTTCCCTGGTAGAAGACAGGGTGTATCCTCCCATATTTTTCCTCAAACATATGAATAAACGAAATAATGTCACCCACTGGGTCAGTGACCCGACTACGAGGATCGGGGCGTATAAAACGCAGAGCAAACCTAGGAAGGAAGCAAAGGACACTGGAAATTCAGCTTACTGACTTTCTGAAGAACAGGTTTTCTTGTCCACATACAGCCCCCTGGCATCCGTAAGGAGGAAAAAAGTCACAGCTGAGACCCTTGAACATGTATAATCACAACCTAAACTGCCACCTGCTCCAAACTGATACCGTTGCCACAGAAACCCCCCAGTCAATTATTCTCACACCAGGCATCAGCAAGCATCCGAATTCTGCGTGATGAACAGTTCTGACTTCCTCTGAAGCACCAGGAATAAGGCACACCACCAGTCTTAGATTTGAGGGATTTAGGTTTGAGGCATTTAGTCAAAGACAGGCTGTTAAAAGCCACACACTTTTGTCCAGATAACTTTGAAAACTGCTTTTCTGCTATTCCAAGACTAGCAATTCCAGAGTGCAAAGAGCTGCAGAAGAGAACATTACGCTAGGAGTCCAATGAAGTAACAGGAAACAACAGTTCCTGTGAGGCTGAAAAAAAGCTTAACTGCAAGGCAGGTATCAGCCTTGTTTAGTTCCACTCATGTGTAAGAGTTACACCGAACCTGGGAGAAGCCTTGAAGGGGCAGGGAAAAAAAAGTAATACAACAGGATTCACCGCCAAGCAATGCAGATGGCAGGACTGCTGGATATTTACCACCTTCCAACATTCCCTTTCCTCTCTATCAATGCTGTAAAGGAGGTAAGATGAAGTAGCCCATCGGGGCAGCAAAGGGAGAAGAGGCAACAGACACCAGAGGGGAAAAAGCAGGTGTTCAGAGTTTGGGTTTTGCCAAGTAACACACAGGGATTAGGACAGGTTAACCTGCAGCCCAGCCCAACGGGACAGGATTCTGGTCAAGCTGTTTGTCCACTAGTGGACAGTCTGACATTGTGTTTTGCATCCCCTTGGTGTGACACTCAAACTGTAAACCCATGTGGAATTAGAACTCCAATCAGGTGTTTCATTTATAGAGCAGCAAGATCACAGGATGGTTTGGGTTGGAAGGGACCTTAAAGACCACCCAGTTCCAACCCCCCTGCCATGAGCAGGGACACCTTCCACTAGACCAGGTTGCTCCAAGCCTCATCCAGCCTGGCCTTGGACACTTCCAGGGATGGGGCATCCACAGCTTCTCTGGGCAACCTGTTCCAGTGCCTCACCACCCTCTCCGGGAAGAGCTTCTTCCTGATATCTAATCTAAACCTCCCTGCTTTCAATTTAAACCCGTTACTCCTTCATGTTCGTTTTCTCTGCAGTGAGCTTTGTTACTGAACAATGTAGGAACTTTACAGCGCCACAGATAAAGGCAGTTGAGCAAACAAATGGGAAGTCTGCCATTAGAGTTACAGATCCAAGTGACAGAGGTACAGCCAAATCTAAGCTAGCATGCCGTGATGCATCAATACACGAGTCAGCAAAAAAACGTACTTACCTAAATATATCAAGTAATGTGTAATAGGTAAATCGGAATGGAAGCATTATGAAGTAGTAACCCCATCCTAATAGGCCCTGCAATTACAAACAAAGAATTACAAACAGTCTTCACCCCAGGAACCGGCCTGCTAAAGCAAAGAGTCCACCAGCATCGAGCACGTGCAGGAGTATCAGTGCTCTGACCACCACAAGAGCAGCTCAGCTGGCTTCAGACTCGTCACATCAATTTAAGTGACTGACATGGTTCATTCAGATTTCAACTCGACATCTCTGAAAACCAGCAGCAGCCACTATTTAAGCAGCAACACATTTGCTCTGTGCTGGCTTTCTTAGCTGTACAAAGGGATTAACAGCACTGAGCACCTGGAAGACTCATGCACATTTGTTTGAGACACATGAATGCAAGTAATGGAGACTGTATTCAAGTTAATACACATTTTAGGGAGTTCTAAAGAAAAAGAGTTACTCTGCCATATGGAGGGGACAGCCCTTCATTCCAACTCAACTTATCAAGAAGCTCTACCATGCCAGAGCAGGAGATTAGATGGCACAGAGAAGGTGGTCGTCTCATAGGGAATCACCCCATGGAGAAAATACGCTGAAGGAATAGCTCTACACTTTGTTTTCAGAAGATAAAACATTTAGAAAGGAGATAAGAGAGAAAACAATTCCTTTCCCTGCCTGCATGTTCTGTTGTTCACAGACAGTCATGCAAACAATTCACCGTAAGATAACTTGCCCTTGGCTGCGGCCTTGAGACAACGTAGCTGTAGATCCTATGGTCAGCTGTATTGACCTGCAACGGCCGCGACGGAGGAGGATTAAAGACACTTGGGACACCCTCTTGCTCATTCAGCCGGTCCTGTACAGCTGCCTTTGACACAAGAAAGAGCAAAGGGAGGTTTCACACACTTAAGGATGGCAGGAGAGATGTTTTTGGGTACACTGGACACTAGCAGCAGGTGTTATTTGTCCCAGAGCACTGGATAAGCACATCTCATTACAAACCCCAACTGCCAGAACTCTCCTGTATGGAAAGGCCTCTCCACGGCAGCCCACACAGATGCACTACGGGAGGTTACACAATGTGCCAAGTCAAGTGATTGTCCACAGGCATAACAACGCTGCTGTGTACTTTCAAAACCAGCTCTCCACCAGCACCAAGAAACTGTTATAAAGAGCCAGCAGTGTAAATTCACAGGCTGACAGACTAAATCTTACTGGTAGGACCCTCCCTTCCCTCCGAGCATCCCGTTTCATCCAGGTACTGGCAAATCACCACTAAGCTGCTTTGAAGCGGTGGTACCTCTATATTCCAGTTGTGCTGCTCCAGTGTGTGACGACATTGGTCCATGGACTCTATGCCGGTTAAGTCCTAAAGAAAGAGAACAAAACCAGGTGAGTGCCAGGGAAATGCTGGATTTTTACTGTTCTTGGCAACACGTGAGCACAGACAGGAGTTACCACAGTACATTAAAGAGACCATTGTGGTAAAGTGCTCTGCTCTCAGCTTCGGAACAGAGCAACCTGAGCCAACCCAAACTTGTAAGCACAGGAGGCCTCGAGTAGGCCCTTGCACCCTTCCAGCATCAGCACCCAAGCTCTGCAACTACACACCTGACTGGGCTGAGTGCAGCTAACGTGATATCACCCACAAGTTTCAGTCTGAAGGACAGGCTAGGCACATGCTCCCAAACATCACCTCAAAGCTTCTCCTTAAGAGACAGGCAGAGCACTTCTGCAAACCCAAGACAACCACTGCTTCACTCGCTGCAAGCGCAGAGACCAAACCCAGAGCGAGCCAGGCCCTAAGGAAGGTAGTGTTTTCCAGCAGCACAGGCGATTCTGTCGTAAAAAACACCCCATCCATTCCAACCCAGACGGGACCCAACGCAGAGAAGAGTCCAGACGCACGGGGATGTCTTCGCTGAAGCCCACATCCCTGTCACTGGCTGTGTTTGAGTGGACGTTTCAGGGCTGCACATGGCACTTAACCGCCTCAGAGCCGAAACGCGCTTTTGTGGGAAAGCAAAGCCACAAGTGTGCTGCTGCCAACCTTTTAATGGCAATCCCTTGAATCGGTCAGTCAAAGATCATGATGGGCGACACTGTTAACAGTGCTGGCAATTTTGACGGAAACTACTGTTATTTAAAAATTAAAAGGAGTAAAAAGCCTTTTTTTATAACTGGACTACAGAGAGCCAAGAAAGGAGTTATACCTTCAGAGACAATTACTGAGCTTAGATACAAGATGGCAGAAGCAGTGACAATGACTGTCAGAAGCAGTGTAACCAATTCAACACAAAAACGTGCTGGTGATAGGAGGAGAGTGATGAAATATGGCAATTTCTCCAGGAACATCATTCCTGACAAGAGAACTCCACAGATTTGCAATATTTCACATCCTCCCCTGGTGGATTTTTCTTCAGACACCTCCCTGTCCAGCTGGTGTAACCCTACGGAGGGTGCACCTCGGGGACCGAGCAGAGGAGTGAAGCAGTCTGCTTTCCCACGGGACCGCCACACACCGGAACAGGACCCCGCTGACCTGCAGAGGCTGTGTGAGCTGAACCACACCAGAGCCCTGCCTGTCCTCCGCCTGCCGTTACACGCACTTCTCCCTGCGGCACGCGAGGAGACAGGAGCCACACGGGGGTTTGGTGACGAGCAGGGAACTTCTGCTCCCTGGGCCTGTCCCAGCAGAGCGTGGCTTTTCTGCAGGAGGCAGCTTGTGACGATAGCAAACGCAGAGCAGTGACTGGACAGACATCCTGGAGCGTGGTTCCTGTTACACCCTGCGATCCAATCCACCGTTAGCAATCCTGTTTGGTTCTGTGGGTCATCTCCTCCATTTCTTGCTTTATTTAAAAGCCCTGGAGGCGATCTCGACAAGCTGACCATTTAAGAATGCACTGAACTGGATTTTACTGGAGAAGGATGGTGCATCTATTCCCTTCCCTGCCCCCATTCATAGATTCCACGTGCTATTTCCACCCAACTCACGCTGTTGACAAATGCCCTATTCAATCTCTGGACTCAGTTCAAACTTTTGAGCATTTCTTGGCTTCTTTCTCATGAAGCCTCCACAGATCTCTATCCATTCTCCCCACTCTACTGAGCAAGAGTCAACATTTCATTCTGCTGTACGGAACCAGACTGTTCAACGTGTTGCTGACACTAATGAGGTGACAGCAGTCGCTCAGCAAAAACCCCACCACACTCCCAAGTCGCTGCCCAGCGGTGTGGAAGTATTTCTTGAAACGGAGGCCTGCAGTAGGCCTCGCAAGGCAGAACTGAACTTTATGCTGGCAAAGCAGCTCAGTGAACTCGGCTGTTGCTGCCAGAACACCTCTGTTTATCTCCCAGCTTCACCATTTAGTGTTTTAGTTTAAGTGTCTTTTTTAAAAAAGATGTGCTTCACAGTAAATTTTAGGTTTTGTATTCTGACTCCTACAGAAGGACAATGTAAGAGGCACCTGCAATTTGCTCCATTATTTCATTTTATAGTGGAGTCACAGTACGTGTCTTTTGAAGCCTTGAAAATCTTCTGATCACCATTCCTTACACCCTGAAAATTCTGCTGGGGTTTGCAAACCGTACAAGATTCAAAAACTCACACCTTTTGTCTCTAGTGTTTGGATGATCGCTCAGCACTAATAACAGGGCTTCACGACTGAACATCCCCTCCTTTTTAAATTATGCAAAAGGCTTTAGCAGTTTTAGGTCAGAAAGCAGCAAAGCAGCAGCCATGCAGAACTACCAACAAGCATTTAATGAGCTCCGAATCACCGCAGCCTTTGCAAGACCTACTGAGCTCCACGGACACGACAGGCTGGCTAGCTTCACCCTTCCGCCCGGCACGCCGTCAGGGAGATCTCCATCTTCTACAACAGCACTCCTCCGGACACGAACCTACCGCAGCTGGTCTCAACACAGAAGTGACAAAACCACCCCAGCAGCACCACGCCTGGTGCTCCCACCACTCTTCGATCACTGAAGCTGGGCAACTGAACACTGGAGGAAAGAAACGGCCTGCGTAAGGGCAGCTTTTTGAACGTTACTTTGCCACGCTCTGTGAGCCAGACATGCTACAGTTCCAGGATGTCCTGGAAAACACACTGGGGTTCAGAATGACTTGCACTCAAGGCAGGAAGACAGTTCAACTGCCAGTTTAGACAACGCTTGCTGGTAAACACCGATACTGTTCGGTATCACTGCCAACGACCATTTATACAGTTATCTCAGCACCTTCTATGGCCTTAGTCACAGAAAGGGATTGGAAACCATCACATCATTCCCAGGGCACCAGTTGCAGCCTTCCTGGTGACATCTCACAGCTAGCTGCAAACTGCATTATTCACATGCCAGACAAGCCAGCATGTTCTTAGTATCGTTAGGGCAAAGAGAACAAACAGTATCTTCAGATCAGTCACTAACTGCTAGTTTCCTCCTCGCTGCAGTCTCTCATTAGCTGCCTCAGAGTCCGTATCTTACACAGACAGAGCAAGTAATAAAACGAGAAGGCCCCCTGTAGTTAAAATTAATCCCATTAAACTAGCACTCTCAAGCCTTCAAACAAACATAGATCCAAGATCAAGACAGCGGATAATATTTAGAAAACAAACAATTAGGCATCACAAATACCAGGAAAGTTCAACGCTGCCTTCTCTAACACCACCCAAAGCAGACTGCTATCCTAACCCATACCCAAGCAGCTGCTGGATATAATTATTTGCATCTTTCACCTTTGAGGCCGCTCAGAATGCTAAAAACCTCTCAGTACTGAAGTAGTAGAAAGTGCAATCCCACGTTTCAAAGGCAGAAGGAATACCCCTGAGTGGCCAAAGGTTGTAAACTGGACTTGCGAAACTGTTCCCTCTGCAGAGA